ACATAAATAAAATGATAAATTTGTTTCAACCCTTTCCAATAAATGTTAAACGCCCACATCTTTGAAATTCCACACCTCTTTTGGTTTTGAAGGCAAAGTAGTACTAACCATGTAATTTAAACTGATCTTCATATCTAAAATCAGTGAAGTGGCCCTTTAAATATATATATATATATTTTAAATTGAAAAACAAAAAAAACAAACAAACAAACAAATAACTCCCTGTAATGTAAAGTTTGTACAGCTGGATCTGCTGAGAACTGACGCTCAAATCCGCAGCTTTTTCTGCTCATTGTTTCGGTTCACTGCTCCATATGGTCAAGTCCTAACGGCTCTCACCAACCCCCCGCATATAAAACTTGTTGGCAGCCATTTCTGGCAAACCAGCTCACTCTAAGACATCTGTATGCTGGTGAAGAAAGTCAAACATCTAGAGAACAAAAGTGACAAATATTATAATTTCCTAAACCATATCGAGGATAAAAAGGTGAATGAATACTGGATTTACATTCATCAGGTGCCCCAAGCAACTGAACTGATTATATCAGGGCTGTGTCGCTGCCCCCTAGTGGTCCGGGGGTCATTAAGTGGTCAATAAGACCAATTTAAGACCATTTTTTTGCATGGGAATTTGTAATTCCTTAGACAATATGATATGATTGATTGCAAAGCTATGACTTGTAGACCAGGGAAACAGTCTTGTGTCTATGAGCTATGTCAAACTGAAATGTATCATATGGCTAAAATACATATTCCTTTTGCCCAAACACACACGCCAGCACCCACACACCATGTTTTGTCAGCAAGATTTGTGAAATCATTTAAAAAAAAAACAAAAAAAACAAACAAAAAAACAAAAAGAAAAAAGGCAGCAGTTATAGCTTGGGTCAATCTAAGAGTTCCTGAATCTAAAAAAATACAGAAGGCTTAATCTAGTGGTAAAACTAGCATCTTTCAGGACATTGACCCTTTTTTTGTTTCATGTAGAAGGCACACAAACTACCACAAAAGTATAGTAATAATCTTCAAATGTGCAAAAAAGCTCAGATTACATTATTTCCTCAATAAAAGAAAAAAAAAAAAAAAAAAAGAAAGAAAAAAAAGAAAAGAAAAGGGAAACAAGAAATGTTCGGGATCACACTCTCTGCCTTCCCCTTCCTGTATCTGTGGAGGAGTAGAGGATTGCAGTGCAGTCCTAGTAGAAATGTGCTTTAGAACCAACACAAACACTTCTGCATTTCTTCCATTGGCACTTAGTTACCATTAGTGCAGAGAAAAACGGCAGCGGCAAAGTCCTCGCGTGTGCAGCGGGATGTGCACAGTCTGTATGCGGTTGAAAAGGCTGCTCATTAGCACGAGTTTTGCTTTCATTTGAAATGGTTCAGAGAGACAAGGGGAAGAGAATCTCCAGAGTTAGAGTGTGCGTGCGAATCGGTGGAATGACATTAATACCGCGAACCCCACACATACCCACCACCTCGTCCCACCCCCATCCCCCCCACCCCCCCCCCCCCCCCCCAAAAAAAAACAAAACAAAATACAACACGTGGTAGATGAAAGAAAGCAGCACTGTAGAGTTTCTCCCTCATGTAGTTTTGTACCTCCACAGTTTTATTTCAATCCAGCATTAGGAGGCACCTCTGGTCCTTTAGTGTCTGCCACCCACTGCACCACCTCTCCCACTTGTCCTCTTTGTTCTTAGCTATTCAGATGAGGTGGGCGATGGCTTCGGGGCTCGGAGGGCCTGCGGGTTGACGATGACTTGGATGACAAAGTCCTTCTGGATCTTAGTGTCTTGCAGCCGTGTCTTGTCTGTGAGCAACTTGCCGGAGAAGAACCAGCGCTGATGGGTGGCGTCGATGTCCTCCTGGGCCTGCAGCTGCTTCTTAAGCTGCCCTATGGTGTCAGCCATGCTGGCGCTGAGGCGCAGGTCCTTACCTGTGGACAGTCGTACCTACACGGGGAACACAGGTAAAAATTTGTCTGTCAAGGATAAACCAAGACAGGAACTTGCAATACTTCCTGGCAGTGTTGAAGTAGTAGTTGAATGTTAAAAGTAGTTACATATGTAACTGGGGTTCTATGAATTAAGGCATTAACACATCTGATAACAACCCGATAAGTCTGTTCGGTACCTTGAGCTGGAATTCCTTTTTGGGTGCTACGGGGGGCTCGGGGCTGTCGCTGGGGTCCTCATCGCTGCGTTCTGAGATGAGGTTGACAGGTGGAGCCAGGCAGTAGACGGGCAGCTGGTAGCGGTTCCCGAGTTCATCATAACACTCTGTGAGAGTACCTGGAGAGGGAAAGAGTACAAGCTGTTATTTAAACCTACGGTCAAGTTATTCTGTGCACATCTAAATATAAGTTCTGTATACTGTGGATCAACCTGTGATTGATGTACATCAGTGGATTTGAGTCCATCAGTGTCTTTTCCCCAGACATGAGTACGAACTATTTGGTTTTTGTGAATGTGTATTTTCTGTTCTTACCATGTGGCAGTGTGATACTGGCTCCGTCCACTATAGCCTGGGCCAGCTCGTGGTCGTTGCACTCCAGTGCCACAGCGGCGGCTTTCAGAGCGTCCCAGATCTCCTTACGGCCCTCGAAAGCCGGCGCCGTGTCCCAGAACTCGTCCCGCTTGCTCCGTAGCTGGCCCTCCGTCATCGGGTAGTCGCTCTTCCACTTGGGTCGATCTTTCTTCAGAGGCTCGTTACGTCCTGCGACAGAAAGGAAAAGCCACAGAGGACTGTTAGAGGTAGAGACACCACATGTTTGAAGCAGTCCACTAATGAGTATGATGATGCTTAATTAACAGGATTTGTTTTAGTTATTACACTTTTTCCTTCAAATTTGTGACGGCCTGTGAACTGCCATTTGTCCGTATTTTTCCAGAGGAAACAGCGTGTGATATTTCTGTTCTATCTATAAATCTAATATGATTAATGCTGATCGGAGGCACTAAAATTGTGTTAAGCAAAGTGCAATGAAACAATTTTAGCGATTTGCCTGACAGGGGATGAAGCAAAAACAGGAAGCATCGAACAGCAACATACAAGATAGCGTGTAATGCATGGAAATAGTGGTTTGAATACCACAATGACGCTGCAAATAATAGATAGTGACAAAAACTGACAAACACAGAGACGTACAGGGTGTAAAAAGTATAAAAAAATATCTAACACTTACAAATGCAAGCCTGCGTGTTTGTCCAGTGATGCTAAAGTATTTGCATTTGACCAATAACAGGAGATGTGCATTGATTTTTATATACATTGTTTGTTAAAGGTAAAACACAAAGTGCCATTGTAAGTAACAGGCGCCTGAAAGCACCAACACAGGTGAATATATAATGTTATGTTTACATTCAGTGTTTCTCACCAACGTGCACTGTGTGTTTCCTTTAGGTGTAACAAACATGTCTAATGCACGGGGGACCCACTCTTTGCTCCGCTGCTCTATGGGCACCTTTAAGTGTTGTATTTACTATTGTTTTATTTGTTTTCAACATGTACAATTAGGATGGAGTGGAGAGATTTGAGTAAACCTCAAACACCACAGAATACGCAGATTGATTAACAAACCACATGATGTTCCCATATAATTCACATCCCGTGCTTTCATCTCTTGGCAGCCCTGAACAGAGCTGCCGTCAGAGAGAAATGCTAGCTGTCACCAGAGACAGAGAACGCCCCTCCCCACCTCACTATGTCATCCGAATCTAAAATTAGGAGGTCATTCAGAGTTTGCAATATGCATGAAGCATGTTCAGCCTATATCTGTGTATGTAATATGACCCGTGTTTCCCACCACTTAGTATTAACACAAGACACACCTCGGTCAGGAGAGCACTTATTTGAGTAGAAGCCACACCTGAGGGTCACACACTCACATGTCTACACAGACAATAGGCTAGCATCCGGAAAGTAACACATGTGACCTCATTTTAAAATTGCACTAGCAGTTCTGCCAGCTATGGTTACCTGCTGACGATGCATCTCCCGATGATTTATCATAATAGTTTTGTGTTGTTGCTGGCATAAACATTTTCTTTTAACTGAACAGGCTGTGATGCAATTCTGTGCTACAAAAGTCGATGTTTTTTTAATTGAGTGCCAACTGTCCGACACTTCAGCTTATGTTGTCAGACAGAAACCGTCAGTGAGAAGTGAACAGGCTTAAGCTTACATCTACAAATGCCTGAGGCAGAGGTGCCAGTCACCGAGGAGTGGAGTGATGGAAAATGGAGAAGAGTACAGATGAGACAGCACACGTCCAAGGGGTTGCCTTTCTTTCGAACTAATTATTTATAGTGCAGGTGGCTTAGGAGGAGTAATTTGGAGGACATGGTGTGGTGTAGGATTAGCACTCGCAGCGGTGTGAATCCCGACGGAAGCTAAAGGGCTTCCTCACTATCACTCAAGTGTTAGTGGACATGTGCTGTGAGAGGGTCTGAAGACGACACGATTTGGTCCGTATTCCCAGACATTACAACGAAAGACATGTTCAAATGTAGGTCATAGGCACAGAACACTGGCTACACTACTAACTGTTTCAGCTGTATTTTCCTACAATAAATACATTATGGCTGCACCGGCACCTACAGAGACTGAGCGGCTGTAAAAATGTCTGTGCAAGCAGCTAACCAAGACCCATGGTTACATTTTATTGTCAGGCGACCTCTTGTGGTCGTAGTAATTATGACGGGAGCAGAGGAGGAAGTCAGGTGGCGTAGTTTAAAGAGCGACTAAGTATATGTTCGGACGTTGAGGTCGATGGTCGACATTTAAAGTTGTCAAAATAATACAGTGTTGTATTGTGAGCTACCCCTCGCCTCTCCTAAAGGGAGGGCTGACTGACTGGTTATCTCTGACCGACACGTTCTCCGATATCTACAGAGGAGATTCTGTAAAGAGTGGACATGCTGCACAGTTAGCGCAAGCAGATGTGAGAAAGCTAAAGACTCTCGTGCTGTAAAATACCTCAGATTTTTTTCTTTTTTTTTTTTTTTTTTAAAGATTTGTATTGTTTCTGTCTGGTGTCTTTGTGTTTTCATTGTGGATTCCTTGTGGATAGTAAAATGTGAGCTAAACTAAAAGAAAATATGGAATAAGAATGCCTGCACCATGTTTAAAAGCCCCCCCAGAGGTAGAAATACAAATTAAAGAAATAGCAACGTTTTATGGAAGTAAGTGTGGCGTGGTGGACAGTGTGTATGAAATGTGCGCAGTAACAAAAGGGAAGTGATTCATTGAATGGCACGCCAAAACAGAGACATGAAGCAATGCCCTGACAGACACGTGATGAGGTGTGAAATGAACCATAAACATGGTATAAAGGTTCATATGTGAGGTTTGTGGATGTCGTCTGAGGCTCACAGTGGCTGTTAAAGGATTACCTGTTTCTGGGGAAAAAAAAACCATAACACATAACGTTGCTTTGGCCCTGTAAAGACATTTTTTAAACAGCCTCTCACATTCCCCTGATGTGAGGCAAATAATTAATGTGGGGTGTTTTTCTGTGTTGCTCTTTTAACAGCAGACATCAGTGGGCATGCACGGGAACACGTGAGAGGATAGATGGGAAGTGCGCTCTTTAACCGGACACCGAGACTGAATGCATGTATGACTGCATTTCCTCTGGACACACAAGAACATACACAAACGTACATTCCCACAGGCCAGTCTGATCCTCGCAGCTGGTCGTCTTATCACCACAACATGTGCATTTGTCTTTCTGCAGCTAAAGATAAAGTCAGCCTCTCGTCATCGATTTCCTCAGATCATCTCCGACAGCGCTTTGAGATTTGGTGCATTTATTTCCAGGGTCAATGGTTAAGATAGAACTGACAGAAAATTCATTCTCATCCACTTTGATTAGTAGTAATGTTTCAAGCTAAAGTGACAAGAATTATCTGCTGTCGATACACAGACACTACCTGCACCCTTTACTTCACCTTTGTAATCATAGTGGTACAGCTGGCTTGCTACACACAGCAGGAGAAACTGCCACAATAAGTCAAATATATATGTAAATAAATAAATAAATAAATAAAATGGGAATTCAATTATGAAAATAATAAATAGGCAAATTAATACAAAAAGGTAAATAAATAAACAGAAGCAAATTAAAACAGAAATATCAGTTCATGTCGCATTTTATTACTTAATTAATACCTGTATTTATTTTCAACATTATTTTTGGTGCATTTAGTGGCATACTTAGTTATTGAGTCATTTATGTTTTTATTTTGGCAGCCTGTTAATGTTCATTTTATTTTCTGTAACCGTTTATTTATGTCAACAACAACCAGTTCTGCCTCAGAATCCCTCTGGTCACCAGCTTATCATGCGACCTTCAGAAAGGTTCCTGCTCTAAAAGTGGAAACATCTCAACTTTTCGGACACGCTGGACATGTCGTCCAAGCTTGTTCTACCAGTGTGTCTCAGTCTTGAGGGTGCAAATAAGGCCTCTGTTAATCTCTCAGGGGATGTGATGCAGGGGCAAAAACCTGCCTTACATTCGAATTCAAAAACCACAGAGCTGTTTCATCCAAAGAAAATGAGGACAAAATCTTCACTGTGTGGTGAGGACTGAAATTAATCAACCCATGCTGTGACAAATGTAGAGATACCACGTTATTCTTCTGTTGTACCTGGCCTCTCCCTCTCACACGGCTGTCTGTGTGAGGGTGTGTCAAGCAGAGTAGATTCAGTCCTGTTAGAGAAGCCAGTCAATGACGCAGCAGGACATGATATGACTTGTTCTTTTTGATCACAGCCTGGTCTAGTAGGGAGTGTCTGTTGATACCAATCAGGGTGGGAAATTACCATGAACCACCGCCAAAACCCGGGGAATCTCAGCTGTGATGGCTTTGACTTTAAATAGTCTCTCCGTCTGCCACTTCGGCAAGTAACGAAGACAGAAAACTTATTTTAAAAAGGTCATAATCGGCTCTAGAAATCTATATAAGATTTTCTTTCTGGGTTATATCCAAGGGGCTTGGGGTCAAAAAAAGTCTCCTTTGCTCTCTGATCCAAAGCTGGAATCCATCTTGAAAACATCCTGTCGTTCTGATGTAAACTGGAGACGATTCCAGCTGGAAAGAGACTAATTGAAAATCTTTCCGTCAGTAAAAAACAAAGGGGACAGAACCTGCATCCAAATGAATAACAGACACGAAGATTCCTAAACAGTCACTATCAAGGGAACTTTATTGTGCCAGATATGCTGAAATTCAAATAAGTCTCACATTGACGAATCACTGTCTTTTCACCATTTGGTTTTTAAGTAAAATAACATGTCGGTCAATTGCTGGATTGACAAACTGAAGCACAGATTTTACCACAGCTTCACGGGTATCTGATGGTCTTTTCACATCCTAGGTGAATTCATAACAACTTTCATAAGCCTGCAAAGCCTTTATTCATCCAATAAACAGTAAATATTTTCATGTGTCGCACCATCTGTCATAAAAGGTCATGCTTAATATCACTGACATTGTTGTCTGGGGTCGAAACTATGTAGAAATTCAGACTGTCTGCCAATTCAGCTGTGTGGCGCCTGCGTCATTGAGTTTAGTCTGGTTGTAAATATAACATTTACTCTTGCTAAGTGCTGAAGCAGCAATCCAAATTCCATCCGTCACTATCAAAGACAAGTGTAAAAGAACAAAATGTGGCAGTTTGCCAGTGTTTATCTTTGGAGGAATGTTATCTTGCGGGAAGGTAATGGACATGAACTCAAGTCCCTGATGTGAATAATCGGCACATCAGCAACTTCGGGAATCGATGTAACCTCCTCTACTTTGCTGGGAGTTACAGTAACCACAATATCCTGCTTGATCCTTAACTGCATGTTGACAGGGCTACCATATTACCACTGTTAGAATAGCAGCTGCCCCAGGAGGCCTGCTGGTGTGGGATTAAGAGTGAGTCTTGAAATTACTGGGTGAGAAAATTGTCAGCCTTGTTATAGTTGCGATGTCAGGCAAATGTGGGTGTAGTGTAGGTGAATTTGGCTGTAATCGCTCTTAGGAATGGGGCCTGAGATGGCACAGTCTACATAGATGCTCAACTTAAATAGCACAAGGGACGCCACATGCTGTGCAGTGGCAAAACAAGAAAGGAACCGTCTCCCAAGAAAAAGCAACAGACTGGAGTATTGAGGGGGCAAACACACTGGTCTTAACATGTAAGCTGCGTAGTATTCAGGTGAACTGTAACTGCACTGCATTCATATTCAAGAATGTGTCTCCAGCAACCTGACTGCCTATCCAAAATGCAAACTGGTACCTGTCAACATCCTTCCCCTTTATTTGCAGTTGGGCAAGATATTATCGCAGGCACTTCACTATTTGAAACTGTACAATATGATCACAATCTAATCAACACGCATGAGCTAAACCTTTGTGCACACATTGGTCCAAGCATGCCGTTGTGCACTTATGTGAGAAGATATGCAGTGCATTGTGAATGGAAAGGTCTCCTTTAATACAGACTCCTGTTTACTTCAGGTGCATGGAGTTTCCTCACAGAAAAACAAAAGTGAAACCAATGAACAAGTGGTCACTTGAGATTCAGGAGTGGAATACATCTGGATATAGTGATTCTCAACCACCTACAGTAGTTTTTTGTGCATTTACTGTGCACTTTAACTTATATAGGGTGTACATGCAATTAAGCAGAATTGGACAGCTGTCAAATGTCAGATGCCATTTTTGTCACAGCAGGGATTCACACAGACAAAGCAGGATGAATTTTGCAGTGCCACCAGTTAGAAAAAAAAAACGTGGAGGCACTGGTGTTGCAAGAATAACAGTCCAAAAATTCATATGATTTAGAGGAGCACACAAAAACACACACCCACACAGGTCTTACCTCCTCGTCCACCGTTCCTGGACGAGCCTCGGCTCTGTGTGTCCTCCCAGCCTTCCCAGTATCTCCCCACACATCCTCCCATGGTCAGACTGCAGATCGTTTCCACGCGTCTCACCAGCTGAGCAGGGGGCCCATCACGGACAAAGACGATGAACTAGGTCCGATTGGGAGGACGGGTCGCAGGTCAGGAGTTGCAAGCCTGATGTCATCCGTAAAGGCAAAAGGGAGATCGTTTGGATGTTCGATAGCGCAGGGCTGAGCTGTACCTGCGGGTTCGATGTGCGTTTTTTCTCTCTCTCTGTATCTGTGCTACTTGTGTTTGATACGACCCCACAAGATTCAAAGCTCGTGGCCCGCACTAACGCTACAAGAGTTTGATAGCCAAACCAACAGCCAGTCGTAACATCTGTTTTAAATACTACGATATAACCAGCAACATGTGTGTTGTTTAACTTCCTGTTAAGTTGGATTAGTTGGAAATCTTGATGTCCAGCAGTGCAAGCAGCGCGCACCTTCTGCGCTAACAAGCTAACAGGGCCAGCCAGCTAGCTACCACAACATCAGTAAACACAAACTTCCGCGCACTCGTGACCATTTCCCCGCACGATGAGTTTCTCCCAGATGTGGTAGGTAGTTACAGTTTCCCGCAGCCCTCGGTGTACAACTTCAATTCTTTGACGTTGTCTCCAGATCATTGTCTTTAAACCCCCCAAAACCTTACTTCCCTCTCTGCTGGTGAAAGGTGACTAGCGGCGGAGCTAGCACCACCGAACTTTTTTACGCCTGAGCGTAAGCACGCATGCAGGTGTTGTGTTCCCCTACGTCAGGAGTTAAGACAACTATGAATGGGCGACGTTGCAAATAAATTCAGTACCGACGGAAGTCTATTACACACAGCGACGTTGTCTCTATCGGTTATAGTATTTTTAATGATAATGGTAGTAATTCATCTAAAATTGTTCAAAAACATTACAAAAGCACTTCCTGCTACAGTGAAAGGGCAGATGACGTACATCGGGAATATTACGGAGAATTCCACTCTCGCTAGGTTGTACTCTTTGCAGTGTTGTAGAATTCGGACAGCACCTGAAGGCAGCACCAAAACCTAAATGCCGCAGTTTTTATTTCTACCTTTAACAAACGTTTAAATTTCAAGTAACATTCACCCAATCCACACGGCTTCAATTTGACACTGTGCTGTCTGTTAACGGCACTGTTTTATAAAACCTTATGTAAAATTTACCAGTTTTGCGTTTCACCACACAACTTTTTGCGCATGCGCAGTTTCAGTAGAGGTACAGGGGCACGATGGCTGCGGACAGTGCCTTGCTGCTGTCTCTGGTGGAGGAATTTGTCTCGGGACTACAAGACAGCAAGGCCAAAGATACAGCAACTGGTAAATAAGTCTTCGTCTTATTTTTCTTGACGTCTTTCCAGGACAGTGCAGCGTGAAATTAACGCTGTTGGGGCTGCCGAGCTGCCGCTTCGACGATGCGCAACACGGCATGATGCTTAACTAGCTAACTTAGCGCCACAACATCCTGTGTGGTGTTACGACCTCATGGCACAAAAACACCCCTTGCAACAAGAGTCTGCTCACTTTGTCACCATACCAGCACATACTGAATATATCCCTAGTGTTTTATTGCGCTGTCACTTGACTGGTACTGTGAATTTGATCACTAGTTCGTTGTGGTTTAACCGCATGCTGCTTGCTAGCTGCTGTGTTTGTGTCCGGTTGAAGGCATCCCGTCAATGAACTCTGTACCTTTGAACCTCGCCGATGCTGCTGTTTAATCTGTAGTTTTTTACCAGAGATAGCTCTGTTATATTAATGTGTTGTCAGGTCAGTTTTCTGTGTGGGTCTGTGGTTGGTTATCGTGACAGCGTTTATGATAGTTCACTAAACTTGGTTGTATTTTCAGGTGTCAAAGATGGACAGTTTACAGTACTGCAGCTGGTGGAGGCACTGGGGTGAGCTGTCAACACCTTCACTATCATCACAGCAATAATAAAAACATTAAAGCCTGGTCACGCTGCAGTGTCATTTTGTTCCCTTATGCTATCTCTCTCTCTCTAGTTTTGTGAGAGAATGGAAGTGGTGGGAGATTTCACATGCATGACACTCAAAAATATCAAGATTAAGATAATATCACCAAACCATAACAGGGTTCCATGGTGGACTTTGAAATGAAGTCTTTATAAGGTTCTGACATAGTTGTTGTTGTTCTACACTTCACCATGTCAAAATGATGATTAAATGTCAATAAAAAAGAAACAGATAAGATCAATTAGAAGTGCTCATTAAATATTCCATCTTCTTCATTTCCTTCTTCATTTTTTTGACTGTAGACTGAGTTTGATGAGTTCTCAGCCTCACACTCGAGCCAGAGGAGTCAAGCTGCTGTCTGAGGTTTTGCATGAGTGCTATGGAAATCTTACAGAGGCAGAAGGTACACATCTTTTCTGTCAGTTTGTTCTAATCTACTCATTAGTCTTGGATCCTTTTCTAGACCAATAGATATCCTATCAAAATAAGGGTATCAGCAAACCGTCATTATTAAATGTATCATAATGGTATTTGTATGCAAAACTCTTATTTACTAGCAGTGAATGGAAACAGTGGGGGAAAGTAACTTTAATTTCAATGTCAGTAACCTATCCATGCAGAAAGGGATATGTTATTAGCATGTCTCCCTGTCCCTCTTCTCCACAGTGGAAGTGCTGATTGCTTTCTATGAAAACCGTCTAAAGGACCATTACGTCATCACTCCACCTGTCTTACAGGGGCTCAGAGCTCTGGTGAGTGTCTGTCTGTGATAGATTTTCAGTGACACATCCTGCACAAGATTAACTGACAGCTAATTCGTTTCGAGTCATTTTGAGAAGTTCCTGATGTGACGGCAACATGCCCATTGTGTGTGTTTGTGCTTTTTCCAGACAAAATGTACAGTGTTGCCTCCTGGCTCAGCTGTGTCTATGCTGAGGTCTTTGTTCCAGGATGTTCATGTACAGGTGAGGTTCGACACTGTGTTACAGTAAAGATGTTTAAATTTCAGCAAACCGGCTTTATGTAAAGAAGTCTTTTGTTGTGACGTGGCTCTGTGTGTTTAACTGTCTCTTTAGGCCCGACATACAAACACACCTGTGCAATATCTCACCAAGCTTCTTGTGTGATGATGATATTCTTTTTTTCACTGTGTTCTGTTCTACTTCCTCTTTTATTAATTCAACTTTGTGGATAAACTGGATTATACTAAATTGTTCTTAAATCTCAGCATTGTGGGTAAATAGCTTTTCTGGTCTGTTTATTTTTTCTCCAGTCTCTGATGCTGGCTGAGAGATCGTGTGTCTACAACATGCTCATTAACCTCATGGAGACCAGAGAGGCTGGTAAGAGACACATACTGTGCGGGTTTTTAGTCTGGTTGCTTGACATAGATTCACTTGTTTTTTTTCTGTTCAACAATTCAGACAATGAATCCTCTGTGGGATGGTTTGCTGGTGAGACTGTTCCCTGAACTTCCTCAGATATTGAGGAAGAGCTAAAAATGTCTTTGGTGGTGCAATTCCTCCAGCTTGGTGGCTGCACCCTTGTAGGAATTTGTCACTGCTCTGCAAAATTGTTGTGTCAGCTTCTGTAAACTATTCAACAGAACTGAATAAATTAGTGTCTTCCTGTTTGATTAATCTGCAGAACTGAAGGGTTTGGGGACAGATTTTGTGTTTGGCTTTGTCCAGTCGATGGATGGAGAGAGGGATCCTCGTAACCTCCTGTTAGCCTTCCAGATTGCAAAGAACATCATCCACCGAGGCTACGATCTAGGTGAGAGCATACACAGCACCTCTCTCACTGTTGTGTCCTTTCTATCTCTGTCCCTCTCTGACCTTTGTCTAACCCCGTTACTGTCCAATGCACAACCCAATCTCTTAGAATTTGAGCTAACTGGCTATTTATCTATATGGACTCCCATTAATTTCCTGTTTGCTGTCTCAGGTAAATTTGCAGAGGAGCTGTTTGAAGTGACGTCCTGCTATTTCCCCATCGACTTCACCCCAGTAAGTCCCTGTTTACTCAGCTGCTTTGGACCGAGAACTGATGAAAGCACAGAGTGTGGCAGACAGAAATGTCATCACCGACTTCCTGTGACCTCAGACGAGCTCTGTAGAAAACAATAACACAGCGACTCCCTCCTCATCTGCTCACGCATCTTTGCCTTCGCTGCGTCACAGAGGATCACATCTCTGTGATCGTTTGATGACTCTGGGGCAAACCACAACACTGCTGATATGATATGTTGTATTTTCTGTAATCCGATGACTGACATTCTGTTATCACACAAAAATCTTAGAATGCCTAGTTGGTCTTTCACATGAAGGTCAGTATTTTGTCTTTTGGAAGTTTAAATTAATTTTGTTTCACCAGTCTAATTGTTTCTTTGGCAACATGGAGAAATCTCTGAAGCAGTATTAAGACACTTAAACATTCATTTAGAAATGAAAGCTCTCCATTAAAACCCAAAAACTGTTTTCACTTAGGAGTTTTTAAAGGTACTACCGTCTTCTCTCGGATTTGTTCCCTGCCTTCAAAATTAATTACTAATTACCTTAAATCAGTTGAGCATTGTATTATTCGGAAATTAATGTTAAATGAAGAATGTAATTGATATTTTTGCAGGTTTCATTGACTATTTTTAAGTTTGCATGAATGTTAGTGCTACTGTGATAGAAGGAAATTTGTCTAAGAAAATGAAAATTATTGAATTTGCTTTGCCAGTGACCACTGATTGTTAACATGGAGAAGACTGACTTACATAAAATTGCATTCAAACCTTCTATAGACACCTTGTATAACTACTGAGCCTCTTGCTGGTGATCCATTCATTACGTGTGTGAAAATGTGTATGTGCATCTATGATTTCTGTGCGTTTTAATAACCACCATTCATCCACCCCAGCCTGCCAATGACCCCCACGGCATCACCAAAGAGGAACTAATTGAGGAGCTGCGGGCCGTCCTCACTGGGACACCGAAATTTGCTGAGGTAGGACCGTTTACATTTGGTTTCTGTTGTAATGGAACCTGTATGACCTGAGAAGAGTTGGCCGTCAGGCACTAAAGAGTGTTTTTGTTCTGTTTTGTTCTGCACTGTTACAGTTTCTGTTGCCTCTCATCATTGAGAAGCTGGACTCAGACGTTCAGAGCGCCAAGCAGGACTCGCTGCAGACTCTGGTGAGATTCCTGAGCTCATTTCTAAAAAAATCTTTCCTGTCCTGTGGAGCTGGAGATAGAAACATTTAACTCAAAATTTCCCCATCTCATATTCCCAGCTGTAAGAAGTCTGTCTGGGTTAATGTGAATGATTTACAGTTGATATTCCTTTAAGAACAGAAACACAGGCGCCTGTTACAACTACAAGGTGCTGAGAGGCTAAAAGCAGAGGGTTATATATATATGATCAATAAGTTTGATGCAGTGATGTACTGGTAAAGGGTTAAAGCTAAAACTTCTTGTTGAGAGTATAAAATTTAAGAGAAGTTGTACCTGGCTGCTTATTACTTAACAATTTATATTTTCCAGACCGCCTGTGTGTCACAGTACGAACATAAGGACTTGGCAGAATTCCTCGAGGGACTGTGGGCATCACTGCGCAGAGAGGTTTGTTAGAAACAGATTTATATGAAAACCAAGTGTTATTACTGTGACTATACAAATACCACATGTGATTTTGATTCACGTATGTCTGTATATGTGTCTATAAGTGTGCGGCAGGCAGTGAAATCACACGTTTTCAATTACAGTAGTGCATCAAAATAAAGTTTTCCAAGACTGTTTAACCATCTACACCAGAGTGAAGAAACTGGTTACAGTATCTGAAGTTGAACTCCCCCTCATTGTTTCATTGCAGGTGTTTCAGACATCCAGTGAGAAGATCGAGTCTGCAGGCCTCACTGCTCTTACCGCACTCACTTCCTGTCTGTCTCGCTCAGTCCTCAGCTCTGACTCTGAAGACTCCCTCAGCACCTTCCTGGATATGGTTCTCGAAGGTGAAATGCTGAAATCTAACATAACATATGAAATTAACCCTAGAGGTGAATAAAAACATGTCAAAACACAAGACAAAATTACCAGGGAGATACAGCTGTAGTAGAATAAAGCTAGAAAAAACTTGTTTAACAACTGACTAAAAAATGATGCAGCAAATGAAATATGTCAACGCTGTGGTAATGGGAGGGTCTTCTGCAGTGTAGCGCTGCTTGTGTAGATGGGCAGGAAATTATACCACAATGACTGTTCACACTTGCACGGTTAATACGCCTTGATATACCGATGAATATTGTTTATCCTCCCTCTGTAACTCTACCGTCTGTGCAGTTAGTGTGTGTAATATCACACTGTTGTACCACAGTTGTAATGCATGACACGGTGGCTAAGAGCCACCCAATGCAAAGCTGTTATTCTGCTATTTATTATATTTTTAGGTTGTTGTTGGTGGTTACACAAATAACCCTAATGCAAAGCTCTTTAGCTGAGCCTGACTTTTGCTGTCTTTCCCCATAGTTCAATAAATACTGGCACATTCATTTATAGGTGCAATCAAACACATATGTCAGAGTTATCTGGTTAAACTTATCTTTTTTTTCTAAATCCACACCTTTCGGCCAATCAGAATCCAGAACCCAGAAAGAGTTTTATAGGGTGAGCTGCTTTTTATGGCAGAGAAAACCCCTCTCTACTAAGACAACTTTAATAAAACACCCACAACTCGGCAGCTAAACAAAGAAATGAATCAACAGATTGTGAGGAAACTGACTCCTCAGTGTCTCATCTGTAGTGAAAGTCCAGTGATCTTGTTTAAAAGCGAGAGTGTGTGATGTTGTTCCAGACTGCAAACATCACCTGTCTGAGCTGGACCTGAAGCTCGTGTGGCCCAGTGCCAAGCTGCTGCAGGCCGCCTGCAGCGCCTCCAACAGGGCGAGCCACATCATAACAGCGGCAGTCATGCCCTCGCTCATCGAGCAGTACAGCAGCAGAACGCAGGTAAATAAATAAAACTGACATCCAGATGTTTATTTACTTTAATATGAGCAGGGTTTATGGCTGTTTGTTGATGGGGAGAGTGAAGCTTTTACTTGTGCTGTTAAATTTAAACATCTATACGATCTTTTTGAGCTTATTTTTCTTGTTGTAGCAAACAACAACTTTACAATAAACAAAGAGACTTGACTTCTTCCTCTCTGACCAGTGTTCCCATAGACGGACGTTACTGGAGGTTGTGCTGCGATTCATCCAGTCAGTAAAAACCAGCCAGGCCTCAGAGAACGGTGAGTGCTGCATTCATTCATGTTCGACTTCGGCGCGTCAGATCCACTGCAGGCTGGTCGGGTTTGACGTCTTCATCTTACAGCTGCGTCCTGTACTGATGAGGAGTGGATCGTGATTCATGATTTTGCATTTTGACGCCAAGAAATGATAATAAAAATCTTCTAAAAAATAATGATGATCATATAATCAAATTATACTTCCTCATTTATCACATTTGTTCCACGTTTTAACGAGTTTGTCCTTTTTAGATGTAATTTATTTCCACAAAATTAAATTTTCCCGAAACATTTATCAACAATATTTCTGAATTATTGCTCTGCCTCAGTGTGGACGCTGATAACATCTGGATATCTGAAACTCATAGGTTTTACTTCTCATCTGTTTGATGTCGAGCATTGTGTGAGATGGCAGAGAGAGAAAAGCTTGCTGTAGTTTAATGTCTCTTAACATTAAGTCATGAGTTTTACAGATGTACTGTAATGCTAATGTTTGTGTATGTTTCTACTGTGATAGTTTGTCATAAAGTTCAAAAAGACTTATCTGCTCTCTCTCTTTCAGCGCTGTAACTGTTCAGGTTCTGTGTGTACATCACCATGGAGACTCGGGACAGTTTCCTTAAAGTGTCGTAACAAACCCCAGATTTTAACTCCTCTGTTTCTTTGTGTGTTTCTTCCCCGCACATCAGAAGAGAGAGTGTTTTCAGCCTTCCGCGAGTCTCTGTGCAGCATGGTGTTTTCAGCTCTGACAGAGACTAACACCAGTCTGCAGATCACAGCCACCTCGATGCTCACCTCACTGGCGCAGCAACCGGGTGAGATACGATCAATTTCAAAAGTGAAGCTCACAACGGAGTCCGATTCTGTCAGCACCGTCTCAAATGTTACAAATACTCACTCTCTCTCTCTCTCTCTCTCTCTCTCTCTCTCTCTCTCTCTCTCTCTCAGGTCTGCTGTTGGACTCTGACATTGAGCTGGCTCTAGATCACCTGACCAGACTGCTGCTGACGGAGGAGGATGACGGAGTCAGGTCAGCTGAACTTTCGTCTCTCCTTCATCTATCACCTATTTGATTCCTGTGTTGCTACTTTTTCTGTTTATCTCAAAAATCACAAAATCCAGAATCAAGATCTTGCAGTTGAACTAAACATGAATCTTGTCTCCCTGTGTCTTTGTGCCTCCAGTCTGGCTGTGGTCAAGTGCGCCGGAGCCTTAGCAGAGCTGCACCCAGCAGCCTTTATCACTAAACTCATCCCGAGACTAAAGACGGAGTTGTTTGATGGTAAGTGAAAAGCCTCTACTAAAACTATGACATCAAGTGATAAGAAATCTCTTCAAATCACTAATTCAGGTATGAATATTACAAACAAAACAGTTGATTGCATCAGAATGAGTCTCCTCTCACTTAGTGTTTGTAGAGGCAGCTTTGGCATCAATAGGTTTGATCATTATAATGAAATATCTCACCCAAACTTTTCCTCTTCTCTCTCCTCTGCTCAGAGCCCATGGATCAAGACGGCAACAGAGAAGCTTCTGAGCAGCATTCCCATCATGCAGTGCGTCAGCGGTGTCTGTCTGCTCTGGCGGCGGTGTCCACCCAACCCAGTGTTGTGTGGGAGAGCACACCTGTCCTCCTGGAGGTCCTCGGCTCGGCACACACAGGTATGATGCTCCTCTGGCTTGTGGTGTAGACTCGCTTATTATCACACGGTCGATGTTCAGCTTTAATATTGTAGAACAAGATCGTGACCTGTGACAAGGAACTCGTCAGAGAAAGTGCGTCAGAGTATTAGACTTTTTAAAAAAGCCACAACTGGTTCGTACATGATCAAATAAGAATGGTTTTGTTTGTCTATCAGTTGCTCTCCTGAAATTTGATGGTCAAGCAAGACAGGAAGTATGATACAGTGATGGTACCCTGTCAAATTTGGCATGTCCTTCAGCCCTAAATGAATGCATGTTATTGCATGCGGTAAAGTGTTTTGTTGAGCTTTAAATCCATATGAATTGTCCTGTAGAGGCTCAATAAATTAAGACAAGACCGAAAAAGAACTCCATGTGACTGACACAGTCGTTTCTTGATGTTTTCAGGTAGCGTCTGTTTCTCGGTGGAGGAGGTGGTGTTGGCGTGCCGCAGCCTCCAGAGGATAGCAGAGCGGGTTCAGGACACTGAGGAGACAGGACAATGCTTCCATGAAATCATCATCCCGCGCCTGCTCTCATTGGCACTCCAAGCAGCACTGCAGGGTGAGCCGCAGTCCCTGAACGGATTTCACCATCATCCTTCATCCCCAGCCTCAAATATCATTCGATCATTTTGATAGTTCCTGGTTTATGTTTAATAGGTGACCTCATACTGTCTTTGTTTCTCGCCAACATCCCACTGGTTCATGTGTTGCAGGTGAGGGGTCCTCTGGTCGTAGTCCTCTGGTAGAGGAGGTGGTCCTGTCTGCTATGGTCCCTGTCATCAGCACCGCCTGCTCCAGGCTACAGCCGACGTCAGTACAATCTCTCTGCCATTTTTGGTTTGCTGTCTTTGTCTTTTCTTATGTAACCATGCTGACGTTGTACTCCCATCTTACTGAGCCCAAACCGAAGGCACACTAGGAAACATCACATCTTTGTAGTTCAGAGTGTTAGAAAGTCTTCACCACAAAGAAATCCAATAAAACAGTGTCAGATTTTAGATCAACACACATCTAGAAAGTGTCACTCTGCACTGTTAAGTAGTGTGTCAAGGATGTCATGTAGAGATAAGTGTTATATAATCGTAGGTTTACAACAGGATTAAAGATATAACAGTTTTATCTTTTGCTTTTTCAAACCTTGTGACACCGTAACCTGCTTTTATCACCTTTTTATTGTTGCGGTTTTGAGTTTTAAATCAGTTCTCAAATCTTTTTTCAAGCTTGTAAATAGAAAACCTGAATATGTGACAGTTTCCTGTCTATTTCTGACTTTTCTGTCTTCAATCAAATCACTGATTTTTTTGGTCTGTTGTGCTGTAAAAGCATTTTTTTCATGAGGTTTGTGTGGTTTCCTCTCGGGGTGTTTCATGTCCTCAGGTTGGCGGGACAGACGGCGTCAAGGGCTGTCTCTCTCTTCCTGGACGGTGACGTCTCCTTTTTGCCTGACAACTCCTTCCCTTCACAAATCCAGCTGCTCAAGGTCTGTATGTACGAGAATGTGTGTGTATGAGTGTGTTTTTGTGTCTTCTTTGCTTTAAATATTGTCTGTTTATATTTCGTTAATACAACAAATTCCTCATCGCTGCCTCACTGTGTAATGTAATGATAATTAAATTAAACAATACATCATTGTTATTGAAGACAGTATCATAAAAAATGTGAGTGTATTGCAGAATTATTATCCATACACCTCCTATCATTTATATTTCCCAGCACTAATTTAGGGGTTATTTATTTAAGGACTTGCACCTCGTCTCACTGTTTCCTGAAAATTGTGACTATGGAAGAATGTAATGTTTCCCCAGAAGCAGCAGGGGGACTCGTGGAGCCAGTCTCAGATGGTTTGTCTGCTCATTGGCTGCGTGTGTTCGTTACCTCGCAGTGTGAGTCTCATCTTCATCACTTAGTTCTGCTTTTATTGAAAGTCTTCAAAAACCACTGTCGGAGTTTCTGAAGCTGTATATGACCGTGTTCCGTGTGTCATCAAGGTGGAGGTGCCCCAGATAGACCAGCTGCTGTCACAGCTGGAGGAGATGAGCTGCACCTGCAGCCACCCGCTGTCATACACCTCTGCCGCCAAGTGCTTTGCTGGGCTGGTCAACAAGCGATCGGAGGGTCAGTTTGTAACTTCAAACTCAGGAAACACAAGTTTTTGTGGCTAAACTAAGAGCTTCATCTTGTCAAATAGAAGCTCTGGGTGACGGTTTAGTTTTTTTCTGCAGGTGATTCTCTTCACAGCCTGATTCAGAGCACGATGAAGAAAGTGTGTAGAGAGTTGCACTCCACATCTTCACCTGTTCGCACTCAGGCATTCACCCTCCTGATCTGGGTAAGAGCCGCACTGTTTTACTTATTTTTTATTATAAGCCATCAATCAGTAAATTTAGAAGCAGCAAATGCAGTGAGTTTGTTTTTGTCTCCAGGTGAGCAAGGCTTTGCTTCTCCGGTACCACCCTCTGTCCATAGTCCTGACTGACAAGGTAGATGCTGTCACTCACTCAGCAACATCCTTTATTTAACACTTTATTTGACCTTGTGCTTTATGACAATTTATTTATCTAGTTTTATTCGTTTTATTAAATGTACAGTTTAACACCTGCTCTTGCTAACTTGGTGTTTAGTTGTTGTTTTTTTTACACTCTTGTGTTCTTGAAGCTCTTCTCTCTGCTCGATGATGCTGATCTGGGGCCGATGGCAGCCGATGGCTTCTCAATGCTGATGAGCGACTCTGCTGACGTTCTGAACCGCGGTTGCCATGCCGACGTTCGCATCATGTACCGCCAGCGCTTCTTCAGCGAGAATTCAGCAAAGTTGGTCCAGGGCTTTAATGCTGCGCCGCAAGGTACACGGCCACAGCGCTTCCAGGAGATTGTGACAGATTTATGTCGTGATTTTAAACTTTTTAGACTTTATTTATTATAACTTGTCTTCATTGTCTGTCTTTTCTGCAGAGAAGAAGCCCAACTACCTGAAGGCTCTGTCCAACATAGTCAATAAACTGCCAAAGCAGGTTCAAGTCACTGAACTACCAGCGGTGAGTGAACAGGAAACAGTTCTTACTCAAACGGCACTTAAACTTCTGCAGACGCTGGCTGTCCGGTGGCTTTTTTGGAAAATGACCCACAGTAATGTGAAGTTTTTTTGTTTTTTTTTGTTTTTTGTCCCCGTCCAGCTCCTGTCGTTGCTACTGGAGGCCCTGTCGTGCCCCGATCAGGGCGTTCAGCTGTCCACTCTGTCCTGTCTGGAGCCCGTTCTCATCGACCCGCCACCAGCTCTCATACAGCAGCTGGAGGCTTTGGTCAGCAGGTTGCTGGCTCTCATCTGTAGTCCAACCATGGTGAGTGCGACGCCGTACCCGAGTGTTTCCTATTCCGTATTACTGTTGTGACTGGTATGATTTTGAAGAGCGCGTGTTAAAGGTGAATGTAATCAATAATGTCAGAACCTGCAACTCACATGCAAACTGAAAAAACCTACAAAGCAAGAAAATTACATGAAAACATAAAAAACAACAACAATTACTGCTGTTAAAATGTGGCATACTGCACACATTCACAGAATAATACTGTATCTTTAATCAGTCAAATGGAGCGACCCGTTATATAGCATGAACCTGTTAATAAGCCCGAGCTCTTGACGCTATTTTGTTTGCTTCTTATTTCTCGCAGACCGTCAGGATCGCCTCACTGCATTGCATCCACGCCCTTTCCCGCTTCCCTGAACATGAGGTAAAACTCAAAACTTTGTCAAGCTGTTAAATCTCAGTGTTCGAGTCTCTTCTTGACCAACACACAAGTGAAAAATAATGTCTGAGGGAACTTCACTCACCTGCATGGTTCCTTGAAGAATTTCAAAATAAAACATTCCGGTCCTTAATTTCCCTCCACTTCCGTCATTTGGGGTTTTTACTCAAATTATTATATTTGTGTATTAATTATTATTTTTAATGCCGGTTAAACATGAAGCCCATGAACAAAGTGAAGTAAGTGCTGTGTCCTGATAAGTCTTGACTCAGCTGCTCTATCACCTTAAACTACAGATAAGTCACTTCCTGTTTGTTAAATGACCATGACTAACTTGCAGCATGTAACATCCGTTTCACCAGGAATTATATTAATTCAAAATTGTAATAACAAAAAGAAAACAAATAGTCATTAAACATTTGTCGCCGTTTCAGATCTTGCCGTTTCGGGCCCGGGTGCTGCGAGCTCTGGCCCGGCCCCTGGACGACAAGAAGAGGCTGGTGAGGAGCGAGGCGGTTCAGGCACGAGCAGAGTGGTAAGAATCAGCCACCGCTGTTGAAGACAGACACATCGGAGGATATTTAGTCCTCAACAAATCCAAAATCATGTTACATCACATTTATCATTGACCTCAAACTGTACTATTACTGCTTTGTATTTTGTGCTACACTTGAACTTTGTCTCTGTTTCATTTTCCTCATAGGTTCCTCTTGGGGAGTCCTGGGGGAAGGTGATTTTACTCCTCAAACACAACCTATTTTATCCCCACCCCACCTCCCCTGGACTTGGAAGGAGACATAGTTGGGAGCCTCAGTCTCCAGGACCAGGTACCCAGGATCCGAGCTCTCACTCCTTGGTTAAACTTTCCAGTGTGCCCCTCTCTCTCCCCCATCCACTCTATGGTTCTTCCAGCACCCCTCTACCCTTCCTACCTTCCTTTCCAACCAGAATCCCTCCATCCTCCATCTTCTCTCCCTTTTTACTGAAAGGTTTTTGTTGTAAGCACCTATATCTCCATGAACGCACAAGTAAGAGAATATGGACTGACTGTGGAGCGTAGTCTAAGTTAAAAGATTGAAAATGACTAGTTTATTAATATTAATGTGTAACACACCTCATGTACATCGTTGTCTTTTTCTCTACATATCGCAGAAAATGTCACATTCAGTCGTGTGAGGACATTTTGGTTGTGTATAATTTGAAATATTTTACTTTACAGTACATTTTAAATCACAAAATAAATGCCCATCACAAGAGCTCCCAGAAATCATGATCAAATCATAATGAAAGACTGAATGTTTAGTATGTTTTCTTCATAAATAACTGAAGTTTCATCAGCTGATTCTAGATATAAAGAAAGTTAAATATATCTAAGATCTAAAATTCAGAATGGCTGTTGTTGAACGCACGTCGTATGTGTCAGCTCCTATATGAAGAGAAAAAGTGAACGGTACATACATTCAGTGGAAAAGACACTGCAATGCTCATGGACTGTAGTTGATGAGTGGTCTCCTGAACTGCGGTGGCAACATTTTCTGTTTTTTTTTATTATTAAACTTAATGACCGTTTAGAGAATCGGGACCACTGAGCAACATCAAAGATCTCCACTTCACTGCGAACAAACATGTGGACTTGAAGCCAAAATGAAGCACTGAACCCAGCAGGCACTGATAGCCTTGTATCTTCTCATCTGGATGAATGTGTAACTGAGCAGTAATGTCTTAGCAGCAGCTGGTGTGTTTGATTTGTGTCACTCTGGTGCACCAGCCGGGTGGAGTTGTAAAGACAAGGGAAAAAATGTGGATGTGCCAATTGCCCCTCGTTTGCTCACAGGGTGACGAGAATCAAACACTTTCCAGGTGTATCACACCTCCGCTGACTGGGTGAAATTTTAAGATTAATTTTACATAATACAAATCTGTGTTGACATTAGTGTTCATTAATGAATTGAGATTGTAAGTCATGTGAACGGTATGTCCAACATCTGCCTTGCATCTGCTCAATATTTGAACAAGTATTGACGCTATATCATAATTAATGTTGAATCATTTCAGTAAGGTTGGCTGACTTTCGACCTCACATCACTTATGCCAAGGAAATAGACAATATTTAAAATGTCTAACTTAAGATGTCATTAAAACTTTTCTTTGTAATTACACAAAACGTTTCTAATTTTCATTTTCTATCACCAGACAGTGGAAACCAAGAAATATCAAACACTTGTTTTATTAAAAAGACAATGAATCAAACTGGAACACAGCTCCAAATTGGTCACAATTGATATCACACCTACATGTCATGTCTCTATGGCAACTACAGATCCAACTCATAATTATGGATATGACCATGTTGGGGTGAAATATCTACAACGAATTAAAAAAATATGAAATTCACAGTGCCTTTTATCACTTATTTAAAGTGTCTCCATTTAAAGGCTGAACACCCAAACAAGGCACACAACAGTTTCTTCACCAGTGTCTGAGAAATGTTACACATGATAACACGAGTGCTGTGCAGGGTTTTTTTTTTGTTTTTTTTTCTTCACCTAAATGTTGCAAGCAAAAGTGCGAAATTTGGAAAGGGGAATCAAACTCGTGGTTTTCTTCTTTGGCAGCAGATCAGTTCAGACCGGTGGTTCTCAATCTCCTCTCCAAAACACGACTACAAAACATTGCAGGTGTAAGCATGCAGACGTTAAAACGAAATGTTTGAAAATAACTTTTCGTTAAATAATCATAAGACGCTTATCAAACAATCAAAAATTAATATTGAAAATGTATTTTTATCTCATGACTTGCCCTCCCACATCGAGAAGCACTTGTATTTGTCCTCAGCCCAAGACACACGAGCACAGTTATTAAATCTAAAACACTTCTTGAATAAGCAGACGTGGTTTTCGCTCAGGGATCAAATATTAAAGGTGTAAATTTGTGTCATTAAACAAGTCACAGTAGTTATACTTGTTACGTTAGCTTATCAGTTCATAATGTGCTGTATTGATGTTTAAAAATGCAACAGCACCTTTTAAGATGCTGTGACTCACTCCTCAGTGAGCCTTTACGAAGGTCTCCAGTGCCTCCCATCCTGCCTGGTCACCCATCCATTCCTCCATCATACACACTTACACAGTTGTTGAAAGAGGCTGTAGTGCTGGTGCAAGAAATGCACTAAAAATTCATTGTCGTGTCTTTAAAAATGGTCGAGATAAAGGAGACGGCTGTTTGGGCTTCACAACAATGCTGGCCAGCAGCACCTTTTATAAACCAGATCAGTCAACAGCACTGCGGCTGGTGGCGAGGTCTGCGATTAGACCGGCTGTACACGGCTGGCGACAGGTGGGCAGTCTTGAGAGGATGAAGAGTTTTTGAGGAATCACTGGTGGTTATCTCCGTACGCATTCACACTGCAAAGCAAACTTTTTCCTCGTCAAATGATTGTAGCGGCAGGATCACGACAGATGGGAGTTTTCACAACAGTGTGACAACAGCAGCCGCGGCGCTTGTAGTCTGAAACGCAGGATAAAAGTTTCTGATATGGAAGAGAAAGAAAAAAAAAAAAAAAGAAAGAAAGAAAACTAGCGGATGAATGTCAGATGGCCATGGGGTCTCTCCTGGTGTAGGTGCAGTCCCACATGATGCCGTCACCAATGGGAAGATGGCTGGAGGGTAACAGGACCTGTGTGAACCAGTGACTAAGGAACAGAAGGACAAAACAGAGGGTGGTCCATAACTCATTTTAGCACATAAACATAAACATACAGATTGTTTCCACCAACTTGCACAGATTTGTTTTAGTCTTTGACAGTCAAGATGGAGTGTAAACCTTCCGACTTAGTAAATAAATAAGACAACACTTGAGTTATGGTGGTAAACGGCCCCACAAATATTTTGCGAGAATGCTGCTTGTTTGGCGTTCTTGTACCAAAACTAATAAAGATGGCAACCAGCAGCTTGCACTGTTCGTATCAGACACTTGCGTTGAAAAGGCCAAAAGCTCAGGGTTTGGGTGAGATCCTGGATGGAGAGGCGTTTACGACCAGAGAGGGAACAGGAGATGAGGGCACTTGAACCTAACTTCAGGTAAAGGTATTAATTTGTCATATGTTCTTGTTGTTCTTATTGTTATTTGATATCAGTCACAAATATCAAACGATATATATATGATTATGAGAATGGCTGGCAGCGACTGGATCTGAATACTACAAGCACTTGATTTGCTTGCGTTAATCCATCATTGAGTCCATCACCCATGTGGTGCAGGTGTCTTGTGCCCCTGTGGATTGTGAAGGTTTCCTTGCGTTATATTGCGTCGTAGTGTTGAGCTATTATTGCATTTTTTTCTCTCATTAGCCAGACGCTAGTTTGCTAGCATGCTAGCAAAAGTAGACTTCATATCATTTGTTTTAATTGCCGGCACGCTACATTGTATCTGCCAATTGTCAAGCACGGGGAAAGTGAAATACCTGCAATACGATTACAAGTGCAAAATCTGAACTCACCTCCTTTTCTCCACGCCAAACAGTAACCTCCAGTTGTTCATTTTGCCACGATGATAGGGATTTCTGAACACCTGCATCGAATCAGAATAAAAACATTAACAGACATTTTCAAAAGGTGGATTTTGTACTAAACACTTGCAGAATTTAAAATGGACTTTGAGCTTGAAGTTAATCATTTTCCGTTCTTCCCAGTGTTAAAAGCAGCCCTGCAGTAACATGGTGTCTATTCTATACTCCTAAAGACTGACGTCATATGCACCTTGCCCTTCTCCCTGAGTCTTTTGGTCTCTTTGCGGTTGATGTGGCGCTCCACGCTGGTCTCTCCTCTGCTGATGAGTATGGCGTGCCACAGGGTGAGTCCGCCTAGAGCTACTGCCACCGAGCTGCGAGGGAGGGGGGAGGGGGGGCGGCACATTACAACCTTCATTTGATTTTTTTTAAACGTAAAGATATGCATGGGGAAATGTTGCTCACCTGGTCAGCACCCAGAGGAAGATCACACTCTTGTGAGCAGTGGTTTCTTTGAAGGTGTAGTCTGGAGGGGGGGTCTGATAATAACTCTGAAGGGGATGGGAAAACACAGTCAGGTACATATTCACAGTAGTGTCAAAGATGGTGTTATTTCACTGTCAGAGCCGGCCTGAAAATGTTGAACTTCACATTGTTCACAATATGCATGAATTAAGTCTAACGTGCCTGATCGTATTTAAAGCCAAGAGTTGTTTGTTTACCATCTGGCGAGCAAACGCTCTTGAGATACGACCATCCTGGATTAGAGGTAAATATGAGAGCAGAAAGCTAAGATTGTTTTCAGGTCTCCCCTTTCACTTCTGCTTTGCTATTTGAGATCGACTTCTGTCTTATTACCGTCTGGCAGCAGCTACAAAATAATTAATCACAGACAAACCTCATGAATATAGTAAATACATCCAGTTATAGCTAAGCTAAACTAAACTCTCATAACAGAAAAGTTAAAATCAGTCTGACTCACACTGGCACAGTTCATCCAGCCTCACCTCTATCGCACTGTACGCCTCCAGAAACAGGTCCCGGCTGCTGACGCTGCAGTAGATGCAGCCCAGGGTCATGTAGAGGCAGAAGGAGAAGAAGTAGCGGTGGTTGAAATGGCCCACACAGTTGTTCAGCCAGGCTGGAAACACGTTCAGGTCCATATGAAATCCGAAATTACAAAAACACTTAAAACATTTGAGTAAAAGTCGTTTTCATGCATTCTACTTTGGGTTTTTATCTGTTTCCTTTGAAAAGGATACGACAGTGGTGATCCATCTTCAAAACACACCTGCAATATAACAGACGCGATTTACAGAGAACAATTAAACTGGACTGATCAAATAACTCATGAACAGCGCTGGCAAATTATCTCACATGTTGCAGATGCTGCAGTGGTGCGTCCTGGGAGGTTTTGGAGTGATACACTTCTTACAGATGGACACTGAAGGAATATGAATTTTGTCCTAGGATAGAGAAAACAAAACACTAAGAGTAAATGTACACTAAGAGTACATTTTCCCCGAGCTGTGAGGAGTTTGGTACCTTGGGCGGGTGTCCAGGAGAGGTGGTGGTGGCCTTGTAGTAATGAAAGACCACCATGACGAGAAGCCAGTGGCCACAGCAGAGGTGCCACATGACCCAGTGCACAGGGTAGGTGCTGATGATGGTCGGTAGGATGAACAGGTAGATGATGACCACGACTGAGGTCGTCAGGAGGATGACCAAGCAGACAAACACCTGAGAGAGAGAAAGAAAGAAAAGAGAAGAGAGGGTAAGAAAAGAAGTTCGACCTGTAGACAGAAAAGAAAAGAAAAGAAAAGAAAAGCAGCGAGCTCACCACGCCAAACCAGCGGGTCACATTGTCCACAATCCAGTAGACGGGTTCGAACACACAGTCCAGCAGAGTGTCTGAGTTGCTGAGGCTGTTGTGATACAGTGACTTGAGCAGCAGCTTGCTGTAGCTCCACAGCTCCGACCACCTCCCGCCGATCCACGCTTTGCTCCCCCCGCCTCGGCCTCCTCTCTGCGGGCGGCACAGCCGGCACCAACGCAGCGCCAGTCGCATGGCGCGGGAGAGCTGCCACCTCCAGCTGCTGCCCATACGCATGCCACCGCCGCCACTGCCACCTCCTCTCCTACACGCTCTGCCCTCCAGACACACACAAACACACAGACACACACACCAACAGTTACAAACACAGGCTGCGTAAAACAGCAGCTCTTCGTAGCGCAGCCTGATGGCCACTGAGGTTTCCATTGTCCACCTCAGGAGAAGTAAGAGTTGTCAGGGCTCCTGGTGCATTTGAAAAGGAAACGAAGAGTAGTGAGCTCCAACACAAGAGAATAAGCAGTATACAGCACCACTCCTAGAAAGCCCTCTCTTTCCTAGAAAGCACTAAAGTTGTTTAAGTTTGGTGACAGCATCCTCCATGCCACACTTGTCCGTCAAAGCAAACAAGGACAGGAGCTATCAGGTAATGAGCTACGGCCATCAGCCCCAAGAAATAAACTTCTTCTGTTAATAATTTACAGCAAATCCAGATCTCCAGGCCAAAGACCTCCTAGAAACTTGCCGCGGAGATGCAGTGTGGTAACTCTATAAGA